TGAGTTGCCGCCATGTGATTGGCTGCTTAGAAATTAAGTGTTAACGAGCAGTTGGACAGGTGTACCTAATAAAGTGGCTGGTGAGTGTATATCTAGTGTGAATGAGCGGTCGTGTTCAGAGAGTAAAGCACAAACCCTTATTTTTAACTCGCATACACAGTCAGTTATTGCCGCTGGTACATCAGCTGTTGCCGTAGCGCCCATCAATCGTGTTCCAACGCAGCCGCACGAACAGCAGCTTGATGGCCAGAGTCTAACTCATGTTTGCGTAGCACCTTTTTGCCGCTTCTTGGAGCACAGCGAGCAGAAGCAAGCGCCTGGTTAACCTAAATTCCTGCACCAGTTGCTAAATGGCTCGCCATCTCACCCCATTTCCTCCAGCCATGCCCAGCGCCATTTATTGTTGAGAACTTTATCTATGGTGGTGACATCTTCCCCAGAGTTCATGAACTGCATTGTTCCAACTCCACGCCATTCGGTTCTCTCTATCGTCCTTCTCTCCAAACACAAAGTTGGAGCCGTAAGCGGCGCAAGGTGACTTTCCGTGTAGAACTTCAGCACTGCACCACAATCTATCTGGCAACTATTTAAAAATACGCTATATATGATGACTGTTTAATAGTCTATAATGTAATTGATGACATAAATAGTACTTAAAATAATTGTACATGGCTAAACATCATGTGGAATGGAAACAAGTGTTTTTTTGATGTTTTGACAGTTAATTGATGATAAATTGACAAGTAGGAAAGGGGCGGGACATTATAAGATGTATCCTCTACCTGCTCCTTTTCGAACAGAAAATATAAAATTTGCATGTCACATGGGCAAAATAATTTTTTATATTTTCATTCTTAAGTTTGTTTCATTCAAATTTTTTTCTTTCTTGATTGTTTTTAATGTCTGTTTGAAATAAAAAAATAAAAAAAACTTGAGCAAGGAACAAGAGGAGGTACACGCTTTCCTAAGACCCGCCCCCTTCTTCTTCTGATTGGCTACTATTATTAGTTTCAGAGGCTTTCAAACGCAAGAGGGATTTCAATTGTCGTTTTTTTTATTTATTTACCGTCATGGGGCTGAAATACTTTAATCTCTACATCTATGAGATCTAGATCTATTTGACAGTCCATCTATCCATGAGTGAAGAACAGCATCATGAAGCCTCATCAGCTTCAGCCTCTCCTAGATGTGTCCTCAGAGATGTGAGCAGTGGGCAGAGCCAGCTTCTTGTGTAAGAGGTTTAGTCTGAGTCGGGATAAACGTTCCTGGCAGAGATCGTAAAGATCTGCTAAACCTTCTGACCCAAAACATCTGCATCAGCCTCTCCTTCTTAGCAACTGGAAAATGCTCTCATTTTAACATCTGTATTTCCCATCTGGAGCTCATGCTAAAGGAAACAGTGGAAGGTTCCTTCAGGTGTTCCTACCAGACAGCACGGTGAAGACGGCGGCGAAGGCGTTGAGTTTGAGTCCATCGATGACGTTGCTGGAGTGGAAGAGCTCCACACACATGAGGCTGAAGCCCACCACCAGCAGCAGGATGTACAGCACCTCCGAAACCACCGACAGCCACAGCACACCTGGAAAACACAACAGCTACTCAGATTTCCTGGACTTTTAATCCTTTAACTCAAGAAAAAGAAATTCAGAGATTTTTTAAACATTTCCATCCATCCCTCTCCTGTCCACCTCACCCCCTTAGGCCAGTTCAGAGACCCAGATCAACCCTGGACCAGGATCAAAACCCAGAAACGTTTTGCTTGAAAGCACAGCTGGATGAACGGCTCCATCCTGCAGCTGCATTTAAAGCATCTTTAACCTGGATGGCAGCTAAATAAAACTCATTCAGGTCGTCTGAACATTTAAATATCAGATAAAACCAACCCAAAAAAATTAAAAGGCATAAATACTCCATTATAATCAGGGGTGGAAAGTAATGAATTACATTTACTCAAGTTGTAAAAAAAAATACCTTGTGGAGTTCCGCAGGGATCAGTTTTGGGACCCAAACTGTTTAATTTGTTTATAAATGACATAGTTAAAATATCAAACCTTATAAAGTACATTCTATTTGCTGATGATACAAGTATCTTCTGTACTGGAGAAAACCTTCAACAACTTTCAGAAGTGGTCAACACAGAAATGAAAAAATTACAACATTGGCTCAAAAACTATAAATTATCAGTAAATTTAGTTAAAACCAAATTCATGATATTCGGAAACAATAAAAAACAGGAAAATAATCCAATTAAAATATCAATTGAAAGTGTTAATTTAGAACAAGTACATGAAATAAAATTCTTGGGTGTCATATTAGACGATAAGTTTAGCAGGAAACATCAGATCAGCCTAGTAAAATTTAAAATAACCAAAAGTGTTGCTGTTATAAGAATTAGTTTCGTCCTGGACTACAAATCTTTGTTTATTTTGTACAACACACTTATTGTACCACATTTAACATATTGTGTGGAAGTTTGGGGGAATACATACAAAACAAATTTACAGCCATTATACGTTTTACAAAAAAAAAAATCAATCCGAATATTACATAAAGTGGGATACTGGCAACACACAAACCAGTTATTTATCAAAT